CCACTGCTGGATGTAAACTGTGTAAATACTACCCTTTCTCTGGGCCTTTGATTTTCCCCAACCATGAAATAGGGATCAGGAGGAGGCTGGGGATAGCCTTGCTCATGGGCTTCTGGTTAGGATTACAGTAAGTTAATACATGCAAAATTATTTGCAAGCCAAAATGAAATAAAAATACAAGAGACTGTGTCTCACCATTCTTATTGTTGTTACAAAAAAATAAAACATAACAAATTCCATATGCTTCTCATGTAACTAATAACCTTTGTGTGCGTGTGGAGGGGGAGGTAACTTCTTGAGGCCAAGCACTGGTGACACAAAGATTAATAACACCCAGCCTCCATCCTTGGAATCTGAAAGGTCTAAAAAAGGAGATAGTAGGTACAATTGGTAATATAAGTTTACAATGTGCTATGACAAAGGCTGGGCTGAAGTTTGGTAGGAGCTCCGCTCTTTCTTTTCTTTTTCGAGATGGAGTTTGACTCTTGTTGCCCAGGCTGGAGTGCAATGGTGTGATCTCGGCTCACTGCAACCTCCACCTCCCGGGGTCGAGATTCTCCTGCCTCAGTCTCCCGAGTAGCTGGGATTACAGGCATGTGCCACCATGCTCAGCTAATTTTGTATTTTTAGTAGAGACGGGGTTTCACCATGTTGGTCAGGCTGGTCTCAAACTCCTGACCTCAGGTGATCTGCCCACCTCGGACTCCCAAAGTGCTGGGATTACAGGTGTAAGCCACCGTGCCCGGCTGAGTTCTGCTCTTTCTTAGTGGTAGTGCAGGTGGATAGTAATGCTTACGACAAGAACTTCAAATGTGAATCAACTGGCATTCTCTGGCATAAAATAGAATTAAAGGCGTAGGGACTTTTTTTTTAAGTTTGAGCTTTTTATACAATGTTCCAGGCACTTTCATATTCACACCTTACTAAGAAACCATGTATTTTTATGCCAGTTTTACAGATGAGGAAGCTGAGACTCAGGGAGGTTGGGTAACTTCTATAAAACTAGAAAGCATAAAGGCAAAATTTAAACCCAGATGATCTAACTGCAAGCCTGGGGCTTTTCTCAATACCCCTTATTGCTTTCTTATCCGCCGATGTTTCTATAGAACCCATACTATGCTAATCTTGAATGACGTTCTTACTTGGATAGTTTTTCCCAGGAGAAAGACTAATCTTAGATGAGAGAGATTTTTTTTTTTTTTTTTTTTTTTGAGAGGGAGTCTCACTCTGTTGCCCAGGCTGGAGTGCAGTGGTGTTATCTCAGCTCACTGAAACCTCTGCCCGCTGGGTTCAAGCAATTCTCCTGCCTCAGCCTCCTGAGTGGCTGGGATTATAGGTGTGTGCTACCATGCCTGGCTAATTTTTGTATTTTTTGTAGAGATGGGTTTTCACCATTTTGGCCAGGCTGGTCTCAGACTCCTGACCTCAAGTGATCTGTCCGCCTTGGCCTCCCAAAGTGCTGGGATTACAGGTGTGAGCCACCACGCCCGGCCTGATGAGAGAGATTTGACAGTAACCCCTTCCATCGTCACTTCCTCTTGCACTTCCTATGATAAGCTCATTCCCTCCTGCTGTACTCACCTGACTTCTCCCTCTCCTCCAACCCCAACGAAACTGCTGAGGAGTTGAGAATCACAACACAGGAAGAGGTTGCAGAAAGAGCGCCCTGCCTTCTCAGCCACTAGCCTCTAAATCCCGGGACAAAATACACTGAAAGAAGGGAGAAATCTGAATACCATTCTGTCCAAGAAAGAGTCCGCGTAGACCAAATCTGACTATGCCTTAATTTTGCGGAACTGTAAGGAGTCTTAAAATATGATTGTCAGACTTGCTTATTTTACACATACAGGAAACTGAGACCCAGGGAGGTGAAAGGACTTGCCTCAGGTCACACACTAGCGATAGGCACAGTCTGGACTGGAGCTCCAGTCTTCTGACTCCCAGGCTAATGCTTTTTCACTAAAATTCGTTGCCTCTTTAGCTTTTCCCATTAACAGCTCAACTTACATGAGATCATAGCCCTTTCAAGAAGAAAGCTCAGTGCTGGTGTCTCTGCAAAGCCCAGATGTCAGTGCCCCCTCCTTGCTCTCCCTTCTGATCAGCTCATGTCCTCATCTAAAGAACAGGAAGTGGCTTCACTTCTAGCTCTGAAAGCACATTGTAGGGGTGAGAAAGGGGGATTTGGAGAAGAGAGTTCCTGTACATTGATAGTCAAAAGCAATCAGCAGACTCTTTGCTCTGGCTTGAAGAAGGGGAAGACAAAAAGTCAGACATGTAAGGGGAAGATGAAGGTTGTCCTTGATCAGCACATGGTCTCATCAAGAACTTCCTCAAGCCCCAGGGTGATGGAGAGTAGAAGTGGGGATGGGGGACGGTGGGGATGGGGGACACTGGTGAGGATTCGGCTCTGCTCACTCCCTCCTGTGCTCTGAGGGAGCTAGATGCCAGAGTGGGGGTTGAGAGAGGAGCACCAGGGTAGGAAAATTTGTAGGAACTTGATACAATGTCCAGTGCTTCCCCATCCTCGTTAGCACCCACAACTTCCCCTGCCAAGGGAGGAAGGAGGAACACATTCAGCTTTATACACTAAGTTTACTGTGTGAAATAAAGAGGATTTAAGAGGTCAACAGAGGCTGGGTGTGGTAGGTCATGCCTGTACTCCCAGCACTTTGGGAAGCCGAGGCGGGTGGATCACCTGAGGGCAGGAGTTCGAAACCAGCCTGGTCAACATGGAGAAAGCCCATCTCTTCTAAAAATACAAAAGAAGTAGCCAGGTGTGATGGTGTGTGCCTGTAATTCGAGCTGCTTGGGAGGCTGAGGCAGGAGAATCGCTTGAACCTGGGAGGAGGAGGTTGCAGTGAGCCGGGATGTGCCACTGCACTCTAGCCTGGGTGACAGAGCGAGACTCCGTCTCAAAAAAAAAAAAAAAAAAAAAGAGAAAAGAAAAGAAAAAAGAGGTCAACAGAGAAATAACAATTCCTGAGGAGAGGACAGAAGTGTGGAGGTGTTGTTTCCTGATGACCTGTCCGGAAATATAACAATCTGATTGTCAAATAGATGGGTGTGAAATGAGAATAACCCCCCATCCCCACCTCAAGTCTGGTGTCTAGTGGTGGGATTACATCCCACCTTAGCACCAACAGCCTGGGACATCAAAGCACACAGGCACACAGAGCTATGGAATGCCAGGCATGGAAGAGACTGCGGGCATTTGCCTGTAGCAGTGGTGCTCAAACCTGGCAACCCATCAGAGTCATCTGGGGAGCTCATTAAAATGTAGATTCCCAGGAACCAGCCCACAGGGGGTAGATCTGGGCTGGGGTCTACAAATCTTCATTTTCAACAAGCAGCTGGTTTAAGAACCAAGGATCTGGTTCAACCCCATCCATCCACCTAAAATAATTTTGATACAAGATGCTGGTTTTACAGTAAAGAAAACTGAGATGCCAAAAAATAGGTTAGTAGCAGCACTTGGACTAGAACCTGGTTCTCTGCCTGTTGGTATGGTGTCTCTGCCAGTGCCTTTATACCTGGCTTTCTCCCCTAGCTCACCTGTCCTCTGAGGACCTGTGAGGACCCATGAGGACCCGTAAGCCCACGGAGGAATCAGTTGTCAGGAGCTTTGATTGAATCTCTCCATTTGGATTATTGGTGGAAAATGGCTGCTTTTGGGGCTGGGATAGAGGTGGTTTTAAGGACATTCTCAGAAAGCTGTGTTCTGTATTCTGGTGAGTTAAAAGTGGAAGGCCCAGCTGGTGGCCTCTAAAGCATACTACCCAGTTGTTCCAGACAGAGAGAATAGTGGGTTCATGGGAGCATGTGTTGGAGGGGCCAGCGTGGTGGACGCAGAGTGAGCGATGGAGACAGTGGCAGAAGAGGAGGTCTGGGAGATCATGGGAGGCCAGAACATACGGAGCCCTCTAGTTCATGTGATATTTGGATTTTTCACTGAGCCACTGCAGGATTTTGAGAAGAGGAGTGTCAGAATCTAACTTCTCTGATGTGGTGGTGACAATAGGCTACCTAGGGCAGTGGGATAGAAGCAAGGAACCCAGTGAGGAGGCTTTGCAGTAATTCAGGGGACAGAGGATGGCAGCTCAGACCAAAATGGCAGGAATGCAGGTGGTGAGGCGTGGTGGAATCCTGGATGTTTTTAAAAAGTAGAGCTAACGGGTTTTCTGATGAACTGGATGTGAGGTGTGAGATAAAACGAGGAGTCCAGGATGATGCCAAGGGTTTTGGCTCTAGCAATGGGAAGGCTGGAGTTAACCGAGAGGAAGAAGGCTGTGGAGGGGAAGGTTTAGGGGAGAGACGGCAGGACTCTGCATTGGACATACCAAGTTTGAGGTGTCTGCTAAACACACAAGGGAAGTGCGGCACAGGCTGCTGGACACATGAGCCTGGAGCTCAGGGAAAGCTGGACACAGGCAGGAGGCAGCGTGAGTATACACGTGGTATTTAAATAAAATCTCATGACTAGACAAGGTGATCAAGAGATTAGGTACAGACAGTGAAGAGGGTCAAGGACCCTGCCTGGGGACCCTCCAGCATCAAGAGGTCAGAGAGAAAAGAGACTGAGGAGGAATGACCAGTGAGGGGGGGAGGAAAACCAGGAGCGAGTCAAGTTCTAGAAGCCAAGTAGACAAAGCGTTTCCAGGAAGAGGGAGTGATCAACTGGGTCACATGCCACTGACTGCTGTAGCAAGATGAGGGTTAGGAACTGACAATTGGATTTAGCTACTGGAGAGCACTGGTAACCTTGACAGTGGCAGCATTTGACTCTGAACCTCATGGAGCCCCATGGTGTGACAAATGACTGTCATTAACGACACGCTTCTTGTGAATTTTTGTCTTCCGGATTAAGTTGTAAACTTTGCAACATCAGGGATGATGAGTCAGAGTATCCGGAGTGAAGCACAGAGTGAAGCCCGCTGACACCCACCTGAGGGCTCCGACCACTGGGCATTGACCTGAAGCAATTATCCTCATTCCTGGCTTACCTTGGACGCAGAATTTCAGTTCTTTGGGGTCAGTGACACCCTTCCTGCTTTCCCGGATCACAGCCCGGTTCTTCTTGTTTTCTCCCCAGAGATTGGTGCCTCCGTACATGCTGGGAATGTTGAGAATGGCAATGCCTTCCAGGAAGATGTTGCTCAGGTCCACCCCAACCCCATCACACTGGAAGGCAGAGAGAAAAGGCCATCTGTTAGTGTCCTCAGAGTGTCACAACCCAAGGTGCTCTGTGTGTGTGTGTGTGTGTGTGTGTGTGTGTGTGTGTGTGTGGCGGGTGCTGTCTTAAAGGGTGTGACAAGTCCCCAGCTACCACCTTGCCACTGTCAGAAGCCAAATCATGGGCAAAGTCACTCAGGCTTAATGCTTTGACCGCCATGGTGAGATGAGAGATCCAGTGCTGGCGGGCTCTGCGGGATGGGAAAGCCAGCACAAGGCTCCAGGGGTCACCTTTAGGTTTAGAAGTGCTTTAGGGCTGGTTCCCAAGTCAATTGCCAAACTGTTCTCCAGTCTAATCTCATTATCATCAATCTTGCCCCTTCCTAACCATTAGATTTCCTGGAACTGAATTCAGAACCTAACAAATGACAGAAAACTTTCATTTTACCCCCTTCTGTTTTATCTCTCCTGTGAGACACACAAGACTTTCAGCTTTGGAAGATTTTCAGAATTTGCCTGTCTCCTGTATCTGTATTGCAAGCACAGTTTTGGCATACGTGCTTGTTGAAGGAGCAGAGTTCCTTTATCCAATCCCTACAACTTGCAGTCCCCACCAGGTACGAAGAGCCAGAAAGCTTGAATTTGCATCTCACATATCTATAAAGTCAGCCCACTTTGGCATCGTGCTTACCAACACAGCAAGAAACATCAGCTTTGATCCTTGTTCCTCAGGATAGTCGCTAGTTTATTTCAGTTACAGAAAACACTGGACCCAGAGAGTTGAGCTAAGTTATCAAGATTGCAAAGCTAATAAATAAGAGCAGAGGTTCAAAGTTGGGTAGGATTTGACTACAAAGAACATGGTCTTTACCTTGCTTATTGTGAGAAAGAAAAAAATCAAACACATTCATGGAGAAAATAAAAATCCACTGTCTTTGAGGTTATATACAAACCCAAACTTTCAGAGACTTGTCAATAGAGGGAGACTAGAAACGTATTGTTGCCATCAGAGGAGGACTAGAAGGCTCATTGCCATTCATAGTGACTCACCTCCTGATTTCTTTGCAGTTCTTAAATTACGTTATCTTGTTTCCCCAACTACAAGATGGAATACAATGAGCACCTCTGGTAACTGGGAACTCATGTTTTCATTGGGAAGTTCTGATAACTTGAGAGGTCTCTTTATGTTGGTCTGGATTCTCTCTCACTCTTGTTTCCACCAGTTGGTCCTGTTCTCCCTTCTGAACCCACAGAGAATGATCCTCCTTCCTCCTCCATGGGCCAGCCCCCACCTAGATCATGATGATGATGATGATCATCATGATGACCGCTGTGCACGTGTATTAAGCAGGACCATCTCCCACATACAATTTCATATACATCTCATTTATAATCTTCATCATAATCCTATGAGTTAGTTACTATGACTATCCTCTTTTTACACTGGGGAAACTGAGGTACAGAGGAGGTTAAGTAACTTGCCCAAAGTTACACAACTTACAAGTGGAAGTACACAGACTTAAGGGCAGGCAGTCAGAGCCCAACTCTATTTTTCTTTTATTTCTCCTCCCTCTAGCACGACGAGGTCGTGCCACCTCTGGACTGACTGTCAGCTCCCTTCATCCTCTCCTGTGGGACTTGGCTTTCAGATCTTTCCCATCCTGGCTGCCCTGTTCTGCACATACTCTAGTCAGTTGCCCTCCTATTTGGCAGGCCACCCAGCACTGAGAAACAACACCAATGACAGGATCTGATGGGGCAAGTGGCTACCACACCAGTACTTCTTGTGGCTGAAATTTTATTGTGCCCCAGAAACGAGATTGACGTGCAAAGCTCATGTAAGAGCTCAGCACGTTATCCATCAGTGCTATCCTTGTTGTTCCACATGATCAAGCTTGCACTGGCCCTGTCGTTAGCTGCTACATGACAACATCGCTTCAGCTTAAATGGGTGGACGTCTCCGGCACCCAGACCATCTCATGATCTATTTCTCATTCAACTCTTCCCCATTCCGAACATGCATAGATTTAAAAAAATAAAATAGATCTAAAATGTTACTTAATTGGCTTTCAGCCCAAGTTTCCTCTAGTCCACCCAGCTTACTTTCAGTCTTCATTCTGTGACCTTTTGTCACAGCACTCCCGTCATTTGGGGATTAAGTCATTAATATGTGAGTATAAAGGGAAAAAACAGTGACCAAGCCCTCTCCTTGGTCAGTTTAACACCAGACATTATGCATTAACCTCCCTTGGGGTAAGGCTGCTCTATCGGAGCTGCATCTTCTGAACTGGACTGTCACCCAGCCTCCTTTTTAAAAATTTTATTATTTTTTTGAGGTGGAGTCTCACTCTGTCACCCAGGCTGGAGTGCAGTGGTGCGTGATGTCGGCTCACTGCAACCTCTGCCTCCCAGGTTCAAGCGATTCTCCTGTCTCAGCCTCCTGAGTAGCTGGGATTACAGGCATTTGCCACCATGCCTGGCTAATTTTTGTATTTTTAGTAGAGAAGGGATTTCACCATGTTGGTCAGGCTGGTCTTGAACTTCTGACCTTGTGATCCACCCACCTTGGCCTCCCAAAGTGCTGGGATTACAGATGTGAACCACCGTGCTGGGCTCTACTTTTTATTATAAGACAGACTGATGGAATCTTAGAGATGAGAGGCACATAAAGGAAGACACCTCTCATGTCTCATGCCTCATCTTTCATAAATGAGACCCTGTGAGGTTAAGAAGCTTCCCTGTGGTCATCCAACTTATTAATGACGGAGCTAGATATGTATCCAGGTCTCCAGACCTCAATCCTGTGCTCTTTTCATGAAAACATAAAACATTGTGCTGAGATCAAACAGCATTTCCTAAATGACCACCCTGCAACCTCTATCAGAAAAGGACCAAGAGAACTCATATTAAGTCACCAATGTCTCTCATGCCTGCAATCCCAGCACTTTGGGAAGCCAAGGCAGGCAGATCACGAGGTCAAGAGATTGAGACCAACCTGGCAAACATGGTGAAACCCTGTCTCTACTAAAATACAATAATTAGTTGGGCATGGTGGCATGTGCCTGTAGTCCCAGCTGCTCAGATGGCTGAGGCAGGAGAACTGCTTAAATCCAGGAGATAGAAGTTGCAGTGAGCCGAGATTGCACCACTGCCCTCCAGCCTGGCGCCTGGTGACAGAGCGAGACTCTGTTTCAAAAAAAAAAAAAAAAAAAAAAAAAACCTCATCAATAGCTGTGTGAAAGCCTAAATACTTGGTAAACAATCTATTCTAGAATCTTGCCAGGGATCGGAATAAAGTGTATCAGTCTGCGGTTTGCAGAATGTACCTTATTCTTATTTTTTGAACACAGGAGCGACATTTATCTACCTCTTGTTGGCTACAACTTCCTCTGTTTTCTGGATTTGTCGAAGTGGCCCCTGAATGACATCTATAGGCTTATCCAGCAACTTGGATTCAAATATGTGTTTTTCAAAGCCAGTTCGTTCTCCATTGATCTACCCTGGGCTCTAGTAACTACCTCTGGCATCTTTTCTTCCGTTTTTGCTTTGAGGCCACTCTCTTTGGAAAAGATGAAAATTCTTCCAGAATGGCAAAGTCCTATTGAGCTATGATTTCTATGTTCTTTTTTGCTTCAAACGTTGTCTAGCATTCAGCTTGGCCTTCAGTTAGCCTGAAGCCAGGCTCACAGGTCTGAGTTGCTTTTGTGTATTCCTATCTAGCTGTGTGCCCAGGCTGTGCCTTTGCGTGTGTGTGTACAGTTCCCTGAAAGCATCGGCTCGGCTAGCACTCTCTGTTGCTGTCACGTTGACTGAAAAACAAAAACCAACTCCTTTTTCTTTTCTTTTCAATGTGAATCATGACTCCTTAGAAATTTATTTTGGAATGTCTTCCACCCTCCTGTCCTTCATATGCATATTCCTAATTAGGGATTTAGGCTAGAGTCCATTGGGTCACACTTTTCTCCTTATCACCCTCTAGGTGAAGCGGTCACTTTCCTTATTGGTTGTAGTCGCTTCCACATCATCTCAATGCATTCACTGTTGGTCAAAACATCCCTTTCCCTTCTGGGCAGGAATAATAATATTAGTAACTCACGCTTGGTGAGAGCTTCCTTGGGCACTGTGCTAGGATTCACACACATTATCTCTTGGGATCGTCACATGAACACGATGAGGGAGGCAGCATGACTACTTTCAACTGACAGGGCCTCTTGGGGGCTAAGATGCTTGCTCAAGGCTCCATAGCTTCCTGCTCTACAAGATGGCGGAGCCAGGATGCAAACCCAGGAAGGCAGACGCCAGATCCTACGCTGGAGATGAGTCAGTGAGGCAAATCGGGATTTTTGCTGATGCTAGACTGATAGCAAAATTAAACTTCCAGCTGTTTGAATAATTGAGATCTCCCACTACTGCTCTATCTTATGCAGTGCTTAGAGCAATGCCTGGCGCATCAATGTTGGACATTAATATTATTATAGCTTGCCTCTGCGCCAGGTTGCTTTTTTAAAAAAGTACATCACCCGCACAGTCCTGCCTAGTATTCCACAAAGTCACTTTTCTTCCATACTGCAGTTTTAAGTGTACTCTGTCCATCTCTATCCATAGCCAGCTAAGTGTGTTTGCTATTACCTTAGTAAACGTTTACCTCTTCCCGGAAGAGCAGACAATCCTTACTCTGCTTTCTACGCTGTCCCTTCCCCTATGACTGCAGTGAGTCCCGTGTAGATGGGGCAAGTGGAGGAGGTGGGAAAAGCCTGGGGTCTGCTGGACCTGATGTCCTCTCCTTTTGGAATGCAGCTACTTGGAAAGTGAGAGGCAGTGTAGCGTCTTGGAAAGAACGTGCCTGCCTGGGCTTGGAGACAGAGAGACGTGGGTTTAAATCTTGGCTCTTTCACCTGCCAGCGGTGTGATTCCGGGTCGTTTCCTTACCGCCTCTGAGGTTTAATTTGTGATCTGTAAAATGGAGGATGGGGGAGTAACATCTGCCTTAAGGAGTTGATTGGTTTCTG